ACAGGTCTTGATATATTAATTTTTTTCCTTCTTCTTTCACCATTATTTTCTTCAAATAATTCTACTTCATCTTCATTGGTTTTCCTCTAATAATGATGGTAAAGCTTCATCACTTTCTTCTAAAAGTTCATTACTATCTATTGGTTCAATTATTTCATTTTGAAAATCATTATTATTTTCTTCATTCATTACAATTAACTCTAAAAATTTGTTCTTTAGAAAAAAGATTAGTGGTGCAACTAAAGATAGTGTGACAAAATCTCTTCCATTAAGTGTTGTTGTTATTGTCTAAGTATTTCAACAAGTTTTATGATTAATTCCCACTCATTATCAGCTAATAATAATTTATGTAATTTTTTTCCATCTTTTTTAATTTCAAGGTCATTATCCAGCATCATATTGGCTTGTAAAGGATGATAGCTTTTTTGAGAACTAACAACCTCACCCATGAATTATAAGTACTGTTCCAGCATGTAGCTACATCATATATTGGTCTTAATTTTTCTGGATAATCTTCACTTAATCTTTGTTGTTGTCTAAACAGTGCCTCCAACTGTTTCAGAGAGTTGAAAAATAACGCAAGTCTTCTCACCCTTAGGACTAATGCTTTAATATTATCATCACAGTTAAGTGCTTTTTTAATACAAAGTTGTAATGTATGAGCTGCACAAGAAATTCTTTCAATATTTAATGCTTCTTTTAATAATCTAGAACCTGATACCATATTGCTGCCATTATCAGTTGTAATAGCAGTGATTTTTTCTTCTAAGCCCCATTTTGATATTTCTTCCACTAATAAGTTTTTTATAATTAAGCTTGTGTGTGGATGGGGAACATGAAATAAATTTAACAGTGTCTCAATCAGTTCAAAGTCTTCAGAGAGCCAGGAACAAGTTATACCCATATATCTTTTTTTTTGGTGTGAAGCAGTCCAAAAATCTGTGGTCAAAGAAGCAAATTGACAGGTATTGAGAAGTTTATTTCGAATTTCATCAAATGAAATATTATACAAATGTGTTATTGATTCTTTAATTAGGTTTATATTCGGAATTTTGAATTGGGATTTAGAGAGCAAATGAATTTTTGAAAATTGTGACTTTTCAAGACATAGAAAGGTATTGAATCTTTTATTAAGAATTCAATTAGATTTTTTAGAATGAAGTTAATTTGAGCTTCATTTAGTGGTGTGTTAGTTGTGTTAGATTGAATCATCTCCATGTTCGCATTTACAAACTAGATAAAGAGAGTGTGATAAATATTCTACATAATCAATTTAATCAATTTAACCATAAATACCTTATTTGCAGTTTTTGGATTCACTATACCGTGATGACTTAATAAATGGTAAATAGTATTGGTAGTAGATCCTTTTGTAACTGTGCTAGGAAAATATTGACCACAAATATCTCCATTTTCTTTAGTAACATTACATTTCCATCCATGTGGTCTTAGGTCTTCACAGTAATTCCAAATAAAGCTTCTTTTATTTGAGTGTGCAGTACTAGAAGTAGAAGCTAATGAATTGTTTTCCGCTGATGACTCATTAATATTAGTGGTAGTAGTAAATGAATCATCCTCTTCAATGTAATACGATGACATTTTTTAAATTTTTGTGTATACAAAATGTAGGGAAAGATAAATTGCGAATTTTAAAAAAAGCAAAATGAATTTATAATATTTATAATATTTTTAGACAAAAACGCTTTTCAGGAATGTTGAAAACACCTTCATTTTATAACAATTTTAAAGATGGGACTAAAATAAAAAAATCCTTTGTGTAAAAGATGCTTTACCACTGCAGAATAATTGATAATTTATTTCTCTATTGTCAAAAGTCTTTAATCACCACAAAAAAACAAACAATTTATTATCAAAAAAGCCAACATGTCTTTTTGAAAATGTAAAGATACTTGTTGCTACAAAAAAACGGAATTGATTTCTTTGTCAAAAAAAAGCCAACATGTCTTTTTTGAAAGTGTAAAGATATTCGATTGCTACAGAATTGATTTATCCGTCAAAAAAAAAGCCAACATATCTTTTTTGAAAGTGTAAAGACACTCAATCACCACTAAAAAAACAAGATAATTCATAATAATAATTGTTTTTTATTGTTAAAAGTCTTTTGGAAAATCTAAAGATAAAAAAAGTACAATGCTATATTAATTGAAATAACAAAACAGATTCTATAACAAATTAGTAATAGGGTAGATAAATGCATAAACAATTTCCTTAATTTCCTTGAATGTAAAATAAACAAATTTTTTTTGTATTGTTAATATTAATAATAGTAAAACGTTGTTATTATACTATATAGTAAATATTACATTTTTTAATGATGTCATTTTTAGTAATACAACCTTTAAAAGGGAATGATTGACAGGATGTAATAATTTCTTCATTATATAGAGCTATTTATTATGATTGAAACAAAACAAACTTCATTATATACTTATATAGCGAGTTTATATTAAAATTCATTATATGGAGAGAAATTTATATATAATGAAATGGGGAAAATTTTTAACTTCATTACATAATACGATTCATTATACAACAGGTTCACTATATCCAGAGCCAACTGTATATATAAATATAAATGTAAATGTAAATGTAATATAAATAAATATTTGATATTTTGAGATAGTTCAACGAATTTTTGATCAAATGTCATCGCCTAAATTTCACAAGCAGATGGAAGTTTAAAGCACATATATTCGGAGATATAAATTAAAGAGTAATAATTTTTGAAGTTATTCCCAAATTTTTCTCCTCAAAAAAAAAAGGTAGCCAGCTCATGGGCATAACCAAATCTTTATCAATACCACTCATTGTCTAAAACAATTACAAATAGAGAGAGATTAATGTGTGTATGTGGGCTGCCAATATATCAAAAATAAATTTTCAAATTTTCACTATAAAAATAGCACATACCAAAAGTCATCATTATTCATCATCCAAATACAATTCACTCAACCATCAATCCCTACATGTAATTTGTTCATTATAGGGAGTGAAAGATTAGAATTTTATTTACATATGTATATTCTGTTAATATTAATGTAAATTATTTTTTCAGCCAATAATTCCTTAGCTCAAAGGTTCATCCTAAAAAAGTAAATATTAAAAAAAAAAATTTTATATTAATATTAATATGGATAAGTTTAAATTTTCTTCTTTCATGTGCTTCTATTGAAATTACTTAATATATACTGTATATAGTTAGAATTTTTTATAAAAAATCCACTTGCATAACAATTATGCTAATATATATATATATATATACTACAAGAAAACGAATTTTTCCCACGTTATTCCCATTCAAGTAATTGATCACGAATAAAGATAAATACTATTATTATTATTATTGCAAAGTAATTTGTCAATATTGATATTATAAAAACAACTTTAAAATTGTTTAAATGATCCCGGTCATGTATCACGTTATTAATATTAATATAAGTAATGTTAGAGGGGAATTTGGCTCTTTAAGAACAACTGATGAAATAAAGAAAAGATTGGGATACACAAGAAAAATATATATGAACTTTTATATTTTAAAACAATTTTACTTGCGTCAAGTAATTTTATTTACGCTACTTGCGTTATTTAGCAGCGAATTTGGCGAAATAGTCTTTGGTAACTTTTCGTCAAACAACATTAATACATAATAATTATCACCACCATTCCATTCAATTGTCAGAACTTATTATAATGTTTATTTTAATAGCATGAATTCTAAAAGTATTGTACCTTTTACAATTACCGACATTTCTTATATGATTCATTTTATTTAAAAATAAACTAATGTCTTGATTTGTAGTTGTTGACACAGCAATAACATTTTAGTCGTCTTTTGAGTTTGGACGGCAAGTATAAACGGGATACTTCAAAAACTTGTTTGTATATTATAAACAAATATACATGACAAACTAATGTTTTTATTATCCCCACCTATTAAAATTTATCTCTATAAGCCGATTTTTTAAGAGGAATTTATTAAACCAAAGGTTTTTTTTTGTAAAATTGACTTTGGTTTAACGAATTCTGGCTGTATTACTGTTTTTTTTTTTAAAAAAATGGTCTATTGCGCGAAAATCGAATTTTTGGAAAAACAAAATATATCAAGGTCAAAAAGCAAGAACTTTTTTATATTTATATATATATTCATTAAATTTATTATTACATTGTTATTTGTTAAGAGGTTCAAGTTTATATACTACAAAACTGATCGTAAATACATTTCTTTAAAAATTTTTAAAATTTACATAAAATGTACATATTTAAGGGTATTTTATTGTGACTGTGCCTTCTAAACATGCTAAAACAGTTTGATCCTTAGCGACAACTGGATGATAAAATAGTAAATATTATTATTAATTAGTAAAATCAGTTTCCAAGCAAAATTATGAAATAAACAAAACAATAATGTTAGATAGGTATATAACTTACGAGTCGAATTTACAAAATAATCAACAGTCACCCCCTTAGGTTGGAATGGGCTTTCTTCCACTTTCCATTCATGTGTTTTGTCAAAGTGACCTGCTGGAACTGGACATGGCTCCTTTAGTGCAGCGGAGAGCATACAATAGTCAGCTGAAAATGAAAATAAAAATTTATCCTTCAAGTAGATATTCCAAGTTGCTATGGTTCCATCTTCAATCGGAACAGTGCTATCTCCTACAACATGCTCAGTGACAGTTTTACCAGGTTCCCATATTGCTGGAGTGTAGCTTACTTCAGTAAACGTGATGGGATAGGTGCCCGTACATTGAGTAAATTTGCCAACTTCGTCACCAGGAGCTCTTTTAGTGACCTCTCTGATTGGAATTAACATTGAAGTGGTTAATGTAGCATAGAAGACGATCAAGATGTAAAAAATATTGATTTTGTTCATGCTGGTTATAGTTATTGTTTATTTGGATTTTTATTTTTTATTATTTATTATATTTATTTTTTTGATTTTCTAATTCAACTGAATTTTCTCTTTATTTATAACAAAAAAATTTCACATTGGATCCAATAAGTTTTATTTTTAACCTTAATTTATTTAATATAAGTAATTGTTATACTAAAGAGGCAGTTACTAGACTTCTCTTTAGAAAAATGATATTCAATGCATATAATAACAAATTTAATTTATCTATATTTGTATTTTTCATTATATAATAGGCCATGTATTACAATAGAATCATAATAATAATCACAGATTTTAATCTCCGTTCTCCGTCACGGATTTAAATGGAGATGAAGAAGCTTTGTGGCTTTGATTTTTAAAGTAATAATTGTATAACTAGAAATTCTCAACAGAATTTTATTTCTAAAATTTGCTTATAGCTATATTCGGGTCACTACTGATTATTGATGCATTTTTTACTTTATTTAACAATCCCATTATTAATATTAAAAGTTTTAGGCTGAAAAAATGATTTTTTATTTCTTGATTGTTTATTACAGGTTTCGAATAATGAATACCTGATGAAAATGTTTTGTGAATGGGAAATATTTCGTTAATCGTCTTATTTGGCAAATAATAAATTTGAATCATTATGCTTATTTTATAATTTGATCAGTAGAACTTGATAAATGTTCGGGTGCGTGATGAAATTAGAAGCAAATTTACAATAAAATTTTTTTAAACAATAAAATTTGGAAAATTATTTTGCCCACATTATCTATTTGATAAAATTCTGATGATTTTGCCAATAGGCTTGTCGCACCTCATATCGTTGCCAATATATAATCAGGTAATTAAATATCATAATACTAACCATTGGCATTTCGTCAGATTTGGCAAAGTATTTATTTTTCAAGCTACCTTCGGATAATCGTGCATTTCGTCATATAACGTTTCGTCATGTATCGTTAGTTCCAAAAGAATAGTTTGCAGAATTATGCAGCTCTCCAACTCAGAACAATATATATATATGCATGTTAGATGACGCAATGGATGTTTGTGGTACCAACAGATATCTCAAAAAGAAAACTCGCATCAATAAAAGAATCTTTTACTGTTGGAATCACACAATATACCTCTTTGTCAAAAGCATACTGAAATCACTTGGCAATGTAAGAATGTCTTAATGAAGGGCTAAGATAGAAATTAACAAAAATGTTACAGGGGCTGAGAAGAGTTCTCTTGAAAATTATACTACTAAAGTCCACGGATTATCAGGCCATTTGAAGAAGTAAGGAAATTTATAGTAACTTTTTATTTTTTGAGGTTTTAACGCCAAATTCCAAGATTGGAATTGAAATTTTTCGTGCTAAACATATAGAATATGGAATTTAATTACAAAAAACTTTTGAATAATAAATTTCTGTCTGAATCAGATTTTTTTAAATCATTGACATAATGATGTATACCACAGCATAATTATTCTCGCTAACTTTCAAGCATTTACTTTTAAATCTTCCTTTTCACCCTCGTAATTTTCAAGCATTCGTTAACTCTTCAATTGATTCAATCTCTCCGACTTCTCTCCTTCCATTCTTTATATTTTATTTTTTGTATCATCCAACTCTTTTGATATTTTCAAATAAAATTAATTTATTAATTATATTGAATTTTTTAAGTCTACATGCGTGAAATTCCATTTAGCCAATCGAAATTTTGTATAAAAACGCCCACTCCATTATATTCACATAACAAGGAAACGAAGTATAAACATGCGTTTTGACGTGTATCGGTGCATGGACATTTTTCTAAGATTAAGTTTGTGATATGATTTGTGTGTGTCAATGAAAAACTTTATGATTTTACTATCGGAAAAATTTTACGCGTTATGGTTGTGAGTCAAAATAAATTTTTTTGGGTGTTTTGATATAAATTCTGCGTCTGAATTTGAAATTCATATTAATAGGGCTGCTGATTGATATACTTGTATTATTATATCAAGCAAGACTTTCAGTAGATCTTAATACAATGTGGAAATTTTCTAATTCTATAATAGAATTACATATTAATATGTATGTACATGCATTAGAAGTTGTACCAATTGAATATTCATTCATTCACTTTAATCGGATAATCATTTGGTGAATGATTAAAAATCATAAGATGAATTGATTAAAAAAGTTAATTGCTTACGATAAAAAAAAAAAAAAAACTGATTATTCATTGTTTTAAAAATTCAGTTACACGAGATATTTATTATCATTTATTCAATGAATATTCACTTTTAATTTATTATTATTATTATTTGTCAATGAAAAAATCAAAGTATGCGATTAACAAAATATTCATTGAATATTATTCATTGAGTGCAACCTCTATCATGCACAAATATTGGTAACAGCTAGCTATACACGTGATCCTATTTAGAAATAGACGGACGGGGTCCAACTTTTATAACAGATTATTTATTCAAGCTCTGAAAACTATTATTAAATCTATGATAAAATTAATGATGTTAGCCGGTTAAGGAATTTTTAAACGGCTTAGCCGGCTAGGAAAAATTTCTCTTAACATTCATTTTTACTCCTGGAATTTTAGTGCAGGATTTAGTGGCATAAACATTTAGTTGAGATGCATTACTTAGAATGACAAAAATAACATACATTTGCTCACAAAAAGTAAAATACAATACATGATAGCAGAATAAAATTCATAGTTTTCTATTCGTAATATAAATTCTTATTTTAATCCGAATTATTATTATTCGTTCTATTCGAATTATTCGTTTATTTGTTTTATTCGTTTATTCGAATAAAACTTTCAATGTGGTTCGAATACTCAAATTCATAACGATTAAACAAAGTATTAAAGGCGAGATATTATAATAATAATGGTGATGATAACGATAGTGGTAGTAATAACCATCTGAAAAGGTTTTTCATCAACTGGGATTTATTAAGTTCTTAGTCGGCTAATGATTGTTCGGCTAAGGTTTTTCTATTGGCTAACATCACCAGATAAAATAATAATCTATATCAATAAATAAATTTTATGAATCTATTTTGTAAGTTTTCTATCGGCTAACATCACTAGATAAAATAATAATCTATATCAATGTTGTACGTGAAAATGAAATTATATGAATTCGCAATTCACATACGTATGTGAAATTCAAATTTACATGTGTGAAATTCAAATTAGCCAATCAGAATTTCACACCACTCCATAATATTTCAATTTCACATAATTTCAATTTCACATACAACAACTCAATAAATAAATTTTACGTATCTATTTTGTAAAATATTTAAACTGGAAACTTTTACCAGCATTTGGAAATAATTACTATTGATAGAGATAAAATAAAGTCTGGCACAAAATCGTGCATAATAATATAATGGTGATTTCTCTTAATAATTCACAAACATGGAAAAAATTAAACAAACATCCCCATATTATTTTGAAACATAAAAAAGAGAAATAAAGATTATTTGTAAAATGTTACAAACATCAATTTCTTCAACTTCATTTCTTACCTAAACTTAATGGTAGATTTAATTTTATTAATAATATTCACAGCTTTCAATTTTTTTTACTTATTTGAACAAAAAAACTTTTGTAATTAATTTAGTTAACTCTTCTTTCTTTTAATACAAATTTTTCTATTTCATTATTTGTATCATAATCAAACTTGATTGTTTGGATTTTTTAACTTGAGATTAAAATGGATTTAACAATTGTTTCTATAATCCTTGGTTCTATCTCCATTTTTTCTATCTTCTGATAATGGAGCAATTTCAAGTACATCTAATTGACTATTTTTATCAAAATTATCATCCTTTAAAAGTTTGAAAGGAATTTC